TCTCTCTCTCAGCACTGGTACCTACAACTAAGATTGTTTCCTCTGCATCGCCTTCATCTGGCGCTCTACTACTCTGTCCAGCTCCTCCTTCGGCCCGCTCCCCACCGGCCTGTGCCCTCCCGTCTTGTGGAGCGCTACTCCCATGGCCTGGAGCAGCTTCACTCCGTTGAACTCCATTCGCATCTGGACGTCTGTCAGCGTCAGCTTGAGCTGCTTCGTGGCCGTCTTGATGTCGCAGTGCGGGCTGAGGGCGAACATCATCTTGCTCATCTGCTTGTCGTCCTCCATCGCGTCGTCCGCGCGGTGGGTGTCGCTCACCTTGAACGTCCTGGTCGTCTCTCCCACGAACGCCTGGCCGCTCGTCTCCGACTCCACCTGCTCCACCCACTGCGTGATGTTGATCTTGGCCTCGTTCTCCTCTTGCACGTTTGGGCCCAGACTGTCCGCCATCGCCTCGATCGCCGCCGCCGACGCGCGTAGGCACGGGGGACCGAGGTCGCGTCCTTTTTCCGCAGGTTTGCACTCTTTTGTTGTAATCTGCACCCGTGTCCTTCGCCGCCTTCACGATGATGTGCCTTGTTGGAACGAGCCAGAACTCTCCGATGATTTTTGCGAGATCTCTCGCCAGGGCCGCCGTCCTGAGGCAGAGCTTCTGCGCCGCCATCACGGCCTGGGCCAAGTCTCCGTCGTCTCCTCCCCCCCTCCCATCGGCGTGCCTTGTTCCCCTGTCCTTTCGGCGCCATGGCTGGTTGCCCTTCGCCGCCGCTGCCTTCTGCCCCTCTCTTGCCGATCCTCTAGCCCTTCATCGTGCTCACCTACGACGATGTCTGGGCTGAAGTAGTGAAACCGGGCGTGCTGATGGAAGCTAGCAATATCTGGATACTCTGGATCACAAATGCTACCGGCGAGGGAATCTGGGGGAACGATAGTATGCGACCACCTAGACTTGTCTACGTGGCAGAACTCCATGTCGCTGGCAGGCCCTCACGCAATGGTCCAGTGCAACCCTCCTCGTAGAGAACCCCGACCAGCACCATGGGCAGTGGTTTGCGATCACGATTTGGGAGAGGGCGCCCCTTCTGTCATGAGCTTCTCTCACATGGCCTTTTAGGGCGCTAGTACTCGTGAGCCTTTGTTTGCCACATGCTCCTCCTCCTTCCACCTGGTGATCACACCAATATGGTTTTTGTAGTTCCTCCAGGGTCGTCTCCTCACTGACGAGCTTTCTCCTCTTGCTCGTGGCCCTTGGATCCCAACTTTACTCTCTTCTTGGAGTTCCTCATGATATATGGATCGACCAACTGCCATCTGTCGTGCGCCTCTGTGCCTGGGATGAAGACATCCAAGTCGCCGGCGCGGGCACTGTGCCAGGCGGCCATGCTCTCGTCCACGCGGGCAAGCGCGCCCACGTCTTCTCGGAACTGGATCACCCAAGGCGTTGACTGCACAGCACTGTCTGGGGGCCACGCAAACTTCTCCGGGGTCAATCTTGGGGTGTTTCGAAGCTGGCCCAGGCGAGAATCGCCAAACACTGTTGCCAGTACTCCACTATGTTGAACAGCGTGTCTACTTCAGCCTTCTCATTCTTAATGTGGGGAAGGTGTCGTTGGGCCCCCAGCATAAAAAAACTTCCTCGTTCGCGCGGGACCTGGCATCACCTTTCTCATCTTTCCAGATTAGGTCCCCTTCAACAAGACATCTTAACAGCTTCGCGAGCGTCGCGTCAAGAATGTTAATGAGAGACCGAGGGAGAGCGAATACTACCAATCCGCTGTATGCAGCACCTATCACGAACGCCTCGAACATCATCCTCTTTACGACCTTACTTGTGCGAGCCTTCCAGAAATCCCCGCACTATCTCCATGCCATCTTGGCTGCTGCACATCTTCGAGATACTTCACCTAGCAGCCCTTGGCCAGCTGGAGTGTGCGGCCCCAGAGCCCGAACCTCTCTACAAGCCGCTCCGTGCAGCTTGTTCGATCTTCGTAGTCCACGGGTGGCCTGGTAACTTCCCTCTCCTCGTAGACAGAGAAGATGGTTCGTTCTGCCAGCGTTTAGAGACCAGCCCCCTTTCTCGATGACAGCCTCGAGCCTCAGGGTCGAGTCGTTCAAGAACTGTGTGATCTCCTCTGCGCTGCTTCCCTCGTTGATAACAAGCATCTTCGTGACTTCATCCATGAACGTGCTCAGAGACGAGTTGAGGTATGTATTCGTGATTGGGTGCAACGTTTCCCATCTCTCGTGGTTGCCGTGCTCGTGCTCCCCCAAATCCCACTCTTCGATATGCGCGTTATAAATGTAAATGTCATTGAAGCCCCTAGGCGCAAGTGTGAAACCCATCTGTGTGCCGGTGTGACTCTGTAAGTGTGCCATGCCATTCGACGCTCGAATCGACATCGACTGGTGGGCGACGGCATCAACAGCAAACTTCTGGTCACGTTCGATCGCCTGCTTTGTAACAAGGTCGCAGAGGGGCTCTCTCGATGTGCCAGCGAAAGCGCTCGTGCAACCATAGTTGCTGATCACGACCGAAAACCCTGCAACCCCTGCCCTCCATTTACTTCCCAGCAAGCAAATCAGCGCGTTCTCTCTGGTACGCGCCGCTAGGGGAAGATGAGAGGAGGGCTCTGGTCCTGGAGAGCGGGAAGCATCCCTGGGGAGCCGAGCACTTCGTAAGGGTCTTGGAAGCAGAGGGGGGAACCTGGACGCACGGCGCAACTGGTCGTCGCACGCCCTCTCGGATGCGTGTCCTGCAGGCGCGCCTCTGCGCCATCTGGGTTTGGGACGCAGAAAGTGCCCCCCCGATAAAGGGAACGTGTCAGCACACGCTTGGGGTGAACGCGACTTTGTCGTCGGCGCTGCACGCAGAAGGCATGTTGCACGACATCAAGGTGCAGCGAGAATCCGAGACGAGGCCGCGAAGACGGGAAAGCGACCCCAATAGAAAAGAAAATGGCTCGCTCGAACCGGGCAGACGAGATTCAACATCTGATATGCGGTCCTCCGCCTCTCGATTCTTGTCCTTCTCCTCCTCCTCCTCCTGCTTTTTGTCTTCGTCGTGCTTTCGTCCTGGTGCTGGTGCCGCTGCTGGCGCGTCTGCTCCTCCTAGTCGGAGCCCCTCTAACCCCCGCAGAATATCCTAAGAGCCTCATCAACTCCGCCAGAACCCACCGTGCATCCTGCACCCTCCCTCCTCCATCTCGCCGTCTGAAACTAGCCCCGCGGAACTGCCCCCCCGCACCGCGTTCCGCGACAAGGACCCCCAAGCGAATCCAGCATCGGCCAAGAGGCCGCCCTCAGCCCTCCCCAAACATTGAGAAATTTTCAAAAAGTATCTCCTCCTCCTCCTCCTCTTCCTCCTCCTCCTCCTCCGTCTCGTCCTTTCCTCGCCCCAAGATGCACACACAGAGAACGTTAGACTCTCCCCCTGCCCACCCAAAAGTGTGGAACACGCCCCGCGCCACCCCGAAAACGGATATAGACACACGCACACACACAGAAGCACAAGCACACGCACAGGCACAAGCACAAACAAACACACACGCACAAACACACACACACACACACAAACACACACACACTTTTCGGCTACTTGTCGGCGGTAGCGGCCTCGCGCGCAGCGACGCGGCGCAGCAAGTAGAAGCAGTAAGCACGCGGACGCGGCTGGGCCCGCAAAGACCGCTTAGGACTCCAACGCGCCTGCCGCAGTGCGGCACGTCCAGGCGTGCATGGCGGGGAGGTGGCACACCGGCCGAGGCACAGACACAGACGCAGACACAGACGCAGACACAAACACAGACGCACTAACAGATGCAGACACAGCACAAACACACTCACAGACACAGACACAAACACAGACACACAGACATAGAAACAGACACAGACACAGACAAAGACACAGACACAGGCACGGATACAGACGCAGACACAGACACCGAAACAGACACAGACACAGGCACATACATAGATACACACTCACACTCACAAACACGCACACTCGCACACACGCGCACACGCACACACCCACACATCCACACAGACACTCACACACACACACACCTCGTTTTCCTCCTCCTCCGCTTCCTCCTCCTCCGCCTCGTCCTCCTCGTCTTTATCCTCCTCCTGTTCTTTCTTTCGAGCGCATTCCGTCAATGGTTGCAGCCGCCGCGGGCTTTCCCCGGCAAGCGGGGGAAAGCGTCCGAGACTCCGTGAATGTGTTGGAAGCTGGCGCCAGCGACCTGCATGCCAGACGGTCTGCAGTGTCGAAGCCGCCCGTCAAAGCAGGGGTGGGTCCTCCGCCAGGCTGCAAGCGACTCAGCGAGCCCTGCAGCCTGCCACAGGAATGTCGTGCAAATTGGTCTTTGGACGCCTGTCGGGATATGTTTCATTTTTGCTTCTCCCGCGACCCGCACCACTTATCCATCGGTCGGAAGAAGTAGGTAGAAAAAAGAAGTCGGACGGCGTTGAAAGTAGATTGGGTCCCGTCCGCCCCCTAAGGAGGACGAAACAAGGTGAAGCCATTCAATCATTGAAGTAGGAAGGCGCTTAAAGTAGGTTGGAATATGGGAATCCAAGAATACCTACTTTCAAAGTCCGATGGGTATCGCCTTCTCTCTCGCACGTGCCAGTTTGTAGGACAGAAACAAGAGGGGGAGGATGAAGACAGGGGGGCGGAGGGTGGCTCGGTGAGAGGCCTGGATGCTGACCAAGAGCGGGCCAGCCCGCCGTGCCCACTCCAATGTTGCTCCTGCCTCGGGCTGGCTCCTTTCTGGAGCGAGTCGATGACGACGAGGCAATCATTTCTCTCTCTCCTCCTCCTCCTCCTCCTGTTCCTCCTCCTCCTCCTCCTCCTCCTCCTGTTCCTGTTCCTCCTCCTCCTCCTCCTCCTCCTCCTCCTCCTCCTCCTCCTCCCCCTACTCCCCCTCCTATCCCCCAGGACTCGGCGTCGGGCAGACAAGGACATCGATGTCCGGGAGGCCGAGAGTGGGCGCGCGCCGGGCCTGCGCAGCACCAGGCGAAGCAGAGGAGCCACCTGCGCGCGCGGGACAGCGCAGGGAGCGGATGGATGATGAGCAGGGGGGGGGGGGGGGAAATCGGCCATAACGAGCGTCATGGGGGGGACGGGGGGACGGGGGGACGGGAGGGGGCATGACGTAAGTAACTCTACGGGCGAAGAACGGTAGAAAGTAAACTTTTTCGCTGTCGGGGGCGCCTGTCCCAGGGCGGCGGGAAAGTTTATACCCTTACGGTGCCACGTAGGGGTAGTACAGGCTTCCCAGTCGCCCAGGGGCAGGCGTCCTTGACGGCGGAAAAATGCATGTTATACAGATTTTCGCCCCCTAAGTGACGCGCTCCACTCCAGACTGTGGTGCCAGACGCACTGTGGCAGTGCCGGGGGCGCACTGAGGGGGGGAGCGGTGTTACGTTATGGGTGGGGGAGGGGGGGAGGGGATGGGGTATAACGCGCGTTATGGCCCAGAGGGTAAACAAACAAAAACTGGTTTTTGGACGCCCGATAACTGCAGTACGGGACAGCTCCGGTTTGGAATCTCGAGGCGCAAATCTGTAGCTACCCCTGACCGCCCCCGGCCCTGATGACTCGGGGAGGTTGGACGCCCGGATTATCCGGGATAACCACGGTCCGGGGCAAACCTGGGCTTGGGACCCCGAGGCGCGAATTTGTAGTTACCCCTGACTGACCCCAGCCCTGACGACCCGGGAGGGTTGGACGTCAAAATTATCTGGTAGAACTGCTGTCCAGGGTAACTCCGGTTCGGGACCCCGAGGCACGAATCTGTAGCTACCCCTGACTGCCCCCAGCCCGGGTGTCTCGGGGCTCTGAAGACCTTTGGTGCGGGAACGTCGCGCTTCCCATAGAAGAACCATCGAAACCCAAGAAACCAAGGGCACCCTGGAAGCAAGCAGGGTGTTTCTTGGCATGGATCTACACTGTAGTCTGGGGCGGTCTCAGCACATGAGGAGGAGGGAGAGGAAAAGGTGCAGGTACAGGTGGTGGAGGAAGAGGAGGAGGAGGAGGAGGAAGAGGGGGGGGAGGAGGAGGAGGAGGAGGAGGAGGAGGAGGAGGAGGAGGAGGAGGAGGAGGAGGAGGAGGAGGTGGAGGAGGAGGAGGAGGGGGAGGAGGAAGAGGAGGAGGAGGAGGAGGAGGAGGAGGAGGAGGAGGAAGGGCACCGATCGCCCATGACTTCGACGAGGCTCCGCGGCGAGCCCGCCGTTTGCAGCGGCGCCCCATGGGCTCTCCGCGCCCCAGGGGCTGAGGCGCTGAGACCGCCGCGTGGACTACATTCGGGGGGCAGCTGAGCCCAGGTGGGACTGCCCGGGGGAGGGGGTGCCGTCCGCGCGCAGCCCGAAGCCTCACAAAGCGGGGTTGTGAGAAAGGAAAGGAAAAATACCCCCCCCCATAAGAACCACCCCGGCACGCGAAGTCGTTTCGTAAACGCGCCCAAAGAAGGAATCGAACAGGGCAGGGCTGTTCAGTAAACGCCCAGGGCCGTGTAGCAAACGCCGATTATCGGGTCCGCGCGCAACCCGAAGCCTTACCAAGCGGGGTTGTGTGGAAGGGAGGAGGGGGATTGGAGCAGGGACCGACCGTCCCGGCATTCCTCTAGGCCTACCACGACATGTTCTCAGAACCCAAACATGTTCAAAAAACAGAATCAGTGTTTTTAAAACAAAAACCCGATGTGTTGAAACACGACAGTCTCGGCCAGAAATGTTCTAAGAACATCCCGTACAAACCACAAAACGTTCTTAGAACAGGGCCTATAGGCATGCCAGGACCATTCGCCACTGCTTGGGGGATGGCCCAGCCCTCCAGAGACTCGACAATTTATGGTCTGCTCTTTTTCTGGACTCTCGGCCTCCCGAGGCCAGGGTTCTGGACCTTGGGACTGAACGACCACGACTCAGGGCGAAAAGCTGGTCCCAGGGAGGACGTCGAGAGGTCTGGGGCCCCGGCTCGAACAAGAATAGTTGACGGGGGTGTTGTGACGGGCACCCGTCGGTCAGAAGAAGCAGTTAAAACATGAAATAGGACGGCGGGTAAAGTAGATTGGGTTGAGGCCCTGACACAGAATACTAGCACACAGAAAGAGCATATCGAGTCTTGAATTAGGAAGGCGCTTGAAGTAGATTGGGATTTGGGCGTGCAAAAAATACCGACTCACAACACATGACGAGTAATGGAGGCAGGAGGGATTCTGACGTTCGAAACCCGCTTTGAGGCCTTCCCTCGTCGCCACGGCTGAGTTCGCCTTGGGGCCCTGGTCAGATGGCGCTGCGTGGCAGATCTGGAGGGGGGGCTTGGAAAAAAGGAGGACAAAGAGGGGGAGGAGGAGGAGGAGGAGGAGGAGGAGGAGGAGGAGGAGGAAGGGAGAAGAAGGAGGAGGACGAGGAGCAGGAGGAGGAAGAGGAGGAGGAAGAGGAAGAGGAGCAGGAGGAGGAAGAGGAGGAGGAAGAGGAAGAGGAAGAGGAGGAGAACGACAACGAGGGGGAGGCGGGAGGAGCAGGAGGAGGAGGAGCAGGAGGAGGAGGAGCAGGAGGAGGAGGAGCAGGAGGAGGAAGAAAAGGGAACTTGGCCATCCATCTACACGAATTCCTCAACCAGCGCCCCCGCCATACCAGTCCCTACCCCGCCCCTAATATAGAATGAGGCTTTGCGATCTGGCACCCGGCTGTGGATGGGTGTGTAAGGGGCATACGAGTGCGTGTGTGCGCATGTTTGCACGCACATGTACGTTCGGTGGCTGTACTCCTACATATTCGACTTCAAAATAAGCGTGTGCTCGACGGTTGCGTGATGTGTTGGACGGAACCGTGCCCCTGAGATGTGCCCATGCAGTGAACACGGACGGCTTGTATAACATAATCACTGCCGCCTTGGACGTGAATAGGTTGGGCGTTGTTTACGCAAGGGCTACTCGCTAGGCGCTGATGTGTTCTGGTGTTGCCAGGGGCAATCGCGTAGTATACAAATGCCGAACCTGTTGGAAAGCCATTGATTGCGCAAGCGTTCGCTGTCTGAACAGACGCCTGGACGAGCTGGCCAGTCACGAGCTCCGAATTCAAGAACATCGCACGTTTAACGACGATCTTCATCGCAACCAAGGCGTTCCCAACACGCCGTCCAAATGCATGCGAATGGGTCAACTATGCAGGCGAATGCAAGTGCTTCCTCCATCGATGGAAAAGCTCATCGAACGCATCATCTGATCGGTCGAAACGCCGAACATAAGGGCCGATCGACAGACGGTTCGATCTTGCTGGTGGCAGCACCAGCGCACCCTGCGCTCAAGGAATTTGAATACCAGCTCACCAGGCAATCGCGCAAAGACCAGCTTGAATCGCTCGGCCGCGCTGTCCGCGCACAAAACAAGAGCCCCCAGCACAAACATCCAGCGCCTCGACTGATTAGAAGTATGGCCCCCCCAGTCCCAGAACGTCTCGACCCCTTCGCTAGAGCCTCGACCCCTTCCCTAGAGCCCTCCTATCCTGTAAGGAGCCTGGTATTTGCCACCACTACCAACACAGGGAATTGCCTCCACTGGTGGAAGGTGATCCTGGATTTTGGCGCTGTTTGTAATCTCTCGGCCCCCTAAGAGAGCCCGAATCTTACCACCACCGCCGAGATCTGGATCATCCCCCCCAGGTGGAGGCGACCGCCGATGCCGGCGCTGGTGCCCACCTCTAGGCCTCCGATCCTGAGCCGAGCGACCCTGGGGCAAGAGTTAGGTCGGGCATCTCCCCCTACAGGCGGAGCTTAGGCGAAACAATAAAAAACAAATCAAACCAATCAAACATAGTCAACCATGGTCCGAAACAAGAAAACGTCCCCTGACAAGTCATTGACTATGTAGTACTCCTCCTGTGGAGGGACATGCCCGACTTGGGTTAGGTCGGGCATGTCCCACTTCAGGCAGAGTTGGGACGATACATCAAAAATGCCCCCAAACATATTTAGAACAAAAAATGAAACATCCTCCAAGACTGGTCCCCTGGCTATTCTTGACTATTTTTGAATATTCCTCCTGTGGCGGGACATGCCCGACTCAGGGGCAAAAGGGTGGCCCAACCACAGGCGCGCCCGCCGGGTGCTCAGGGGGGGCCACCGCAGGGTTCGCTCCAGAGGCCCCCCGAGGCGACGGGCCCCTCCTACAGTGAAAGCGTATAGTAAGGTTAGGTCGGGCATGTCCTCCTACAGGTTGATTTTGGACGAAGAAAATAAATAGGCGAAAAATATTCCGAAGATTGCCACAATACCAAAAAACCGTCCCCAGACTATTTTGTCGCTATCTTTGAATATTCATCCTGTAGAGGGACACGCCCGACTGAATAGTCAGGACGGGTGGTAAGGGCGCAGGAACCTTGGATGCCGAAGTGTTTTTTTGGGGGCGGCGGGCGACCAAAACCCCAATGGAAACGGCAAATGACGGGCCGCAGAGGCAAGCGCACAAGGGTACTCTAGAGAAGGCGCGCGTCCTTACTCTGCGCGTTGGCTGTACGAGCATCTGGAAGAAACATTTTCTGTCAGCGGCGAGGCAGAGAAGCTGCTCCAGCCGGCCGCGATCGGGGAGACCGATGCGCGATTTGGCTGGCGTGAAAGAGGGGGAAAAAGGGGGACCGGGCGGCCGCGAAGGACAGGAGGAGGCGGAAGGCACACATCCGATAGAAACACACATATATATATACATACATACATACATACATACATACATACATACACACATATCTTTCGTGCACATTTTGGGCCCCGGGTGGCGCATTGGAGCCCGTTGAGGGCCCCTCTGGGGCCACTTTCCTGCGACCCTGGACTGCCCCCCCCCGCCCCACGTTCAATGCCCCACCGCTGCCGTCCGGCCGGCCTCCAGCAAGCGCGAAGAAATCTGGTCACCTCGATCTTGCCGAGGGACGCCGGGTGCCCGGGAGTGCGGGCCTCAAGAATATATATATATATATATATATATATATATATATATATATATATAATATTAAAAAACACACGAATCACGAGTTACA